CAAAAGGACAGCAACTTGTCTGTTCCCCTTCCCCCAATTCCCCAGCGCTGTTCCCATCCCCCAATTCCCCAATAAAAATCTTAAAAATAAAAAAAATACATTCAAAAGGCAGACAAAACAAGGCCGGCCAAGTGGCTCCATTGGTTATGGTTAAGAGCTCACTCAAGAGTGCTCACTCAAGAGTGCGAACTCTGAGCAACAGGGTTGCTGGTTCGATTCCTGGCCTGAGCTGAGCTGCCACTGAGCTGTCAACAGGTGACAGGATGGCTCAGCTAGAAAAAAAAAGTGATTTAAATAAAGTTTCTCTTAAAAAAAAATGCAGACAAAACAAGAAATATATTGATAACATACACCACAAAGGGCATGAAGACACCCAACTTCACTCAAAATAAGAACAATGCAAATTAAAACTACACAGAGATACTAATACTAGCAGATTAGCAGAAATCCCCAAGTCTGCGACCATTGTTTTGGCGAGGGTGTGGGGAATTGGCACGCTCATGTGTTGTTGGTGGGGTGTGAAATGACACAGCCTCTATGGAGAATGGACATTGGAATGCACACACCATTTATTCTAGCAATTCCGCTTTGCTACGTTTACCGGTAATTTCATAAAATTTATTGGCGCTGCAGTGACTATCCTTATTCGTGCATTTTTTCTGCACAGGGGCAAATATATCTGTATACTTTTCCAAGTGCACAAAAATGCATGAAATGAAAGTAAATATCCATCAACAGGGTCTGACAGAACGTATTAGGGCACATCCAGATGGCGGGATCGTGTGCAGCTGTCAACAAGGGCAGAGCAGCTCTGTGTGAACTAATAATAAATGATCTCCAAGGTAGCTTTAAGTGAAAGAAAAACACTATAAAACTGCTCGCAAAAGCAAAAAATTAAATGGAAAAAAAAAAACCAAACCTGCTCGGTGTGCGACCACATAAGAGGTGAAAGCACCTGTCAGTCAGTACATGCTCCTTCACGCACACTCCCTGGAAGGGCCCTGAAGACACTGATGACACTGCCCCTGGGAGGGGGCTGCACGTCATGCAGGGGCAGAGAGGGAGGCTTGCTACTTACTCTGTCCTTGGGCACCTGTGCATCTTGTATTACATGCATGTATCACCTATTCAAAAATAGATAATTACTAAAAAAAAAAGAAAAAAATTGGTAATTGCTTTTCTTTACATTAAGTTTTAAAAATCTTCCTAGAAAAGATGGAGAATTCACAACACTCGTTATTTTAACTCTCCCCAGACTACACTAAAACCACAACAAGGAGACTTGGTTTGAAAGGCCCAGATCCCCACACTGGGCGCCCCAGAGAAGATGACCCCGGCAGAGCGTGGACACCGGACAGGACAGTCGTGGCCTTGCTGGGACCAAGAGGCTGAATGTCCCTCCAAATGTCCCGGAAGCGACAGCAAACGAGGGGGTGGCTTCCCGCTTTGGGGGCTCCTTCTCTAGGGGGTCAGGCGAGCTCTAGGTCGGGGACAGTCCAGTGGAGGGCAGGGAGCCGCGCCGGAGCGGGTGGCCGGAGGAGGACAGCCCCTGACCCCACCCGGGGCCGTCCTCGCCCTTCCCCGGCCACACGCAGGCTTTTCCGCGGAGCCCAGCTCCCGGGGAGCGTCCTTCCCGAGCCCGGCTCCTCGCCGTCTCCTCGTCCCGCTGGCGGGGCTGTGACGACAGCGGAGCGAGGCCACAGGTCTCCTCGGCCAGGCGGCCGCGCTGCGCCCGAGAAGCCGGTTCCCGAGCGCGCCCTGCGCCGGGCGGGCGGCTGCCGTGCGCGTCGCCCCTTGACCGGCAGCGTCCCCGCCAGACCGTCGTTCCCGGAGGAGCCGCGTCTGCTCCGACCCCCACGCCGGGTCCCAGCGCCGCGAAGCGCCCGGAAACGTCCCGTGAACACGTGTTGGGCGAAACGATCAATGAGTCAGCGGAGCGCGATTTGCCAAAACCGGTTTATTGCGCCCGTTTACACAGCGCGCTTCGTGCGACGCGAGCCCGGGCCCCGGCCGCGGGGTCCTCTCGGCCCCGGAGCCCCCGTCCCCGTTCACAGGGACGCAGCCCCGTCTTCACCGGGCTTCTCCGCAGGGGCCGCCTGAGGGTCCCCTCCACGCAGCCCGGTCCCCACGGGGGCCCGTCCTCACCCGCCCGCGCCGCCCGGTCGCGGTCACGCTCCTGTCGCCTCCCCGGAGCCTCCCACGGGCCACATCTCCCGGCCGTTCGCTCGGCGACCCCGTCCTGTCGCTGCAGCCGCGACCGCAGGGCCGCGTGCAGTCCCCGGCCGTCGCCTCCCCGGCCTGTCGCAGGCTGACCGGCCGCTCCCCGCGCGAATGTCCGCCTCCGCCACGGGAGCCGAGGGCAGGGCGAAGCCTCGTCCCTGAGTTTACGGCAGCCGCTCACTGGAAGGTCACTAAGCGCTGCCACCGCCGGAGCCGCTCCGTCGGGGTCACGAACGCGGGGCCCCCGGAGGCCGCGGGGCGCCGCGGCGGGCACAGACCCGGGCCGCGGGAGCGCCTTTCTGGACCGGGCTTCCCGGGCTTGGCGCCCCGGCCAATCCCTTCTCGGGGCTCCTCCGCGGGGCAGGCGGCTCGCCTCCTCCAATCACGACACGTTCGGAGCCGACCGGAAGTCGGGCCGTAATCCGCGCCGCGACCGTCGTAAACGCGCCGATCGCCCCTAGCGACGGGCAACGCGGCGAAGATGGCGGCGCTAGCGGCGGCGGAGGCCGCGGCGCCCCGAGGCCCCGCCGAGGCGGCGGAGGCGGCCGAGACGGCGGAGCTGAGCCGCGCCCTGAGCCGCCTGCTGCCCGGGCTGGAGGCCGACAGCAAGCTGGGCC